TTGACAAAGCCTGACCAATCTTCAATACACGTTATCAATAAAGCTAAAAAATAAAAATAAAAATTTTAAAAATGAAGTAAAAAAAATTTTTTATTTAATAGCAAATCTTCAATTTGATTGATTAACAATTATGCTTTGAAAATTTCTAGAATCAATCGAGTGATGATTTATACCTATATAAGGTATAATCTGCACTATCTATTTATAGTATATTCCCTGACTGAAATCAGGCTTGTAGATGCCAAGATATCTTTAAAAAACATTTTTTTAACTATATAAACTTCTTTGTAATTGTTTTAAAGAAGTTTATATAGTTAAAAAAATGTTTTTTAAAGATATCTTGGCATCCACTAGGCCAATTTGGATGATTTAACTACCATTAGAACCACAAAGATGAGCTCTACAACTTTTAATTAAGTGACAAAGTCAATTAACTTAGTACAAAAAAAGTTTTCTTTAGAAAAATGTTAGAAATTTTTCATATTTAGGCTATATTAGATTTATATAGTAAACTGTATCACGTTATACTATAATTATTCTTCTGTTGAGTAGCAAATCATCAATTAATGAAATTATAGCAGATTAGTATAGTATAGGCAGGTTGGCAATGGAGAGCCAATTGTATACTATACTGATTTGCGAAACTACTAATTTGAACCTATTAACAACTCTACTCATAGCTTTTCTATAGGAAAATTGTATAAAATTTTATACTGTATTTATAATAATTACTATATATAGGAATTTAAATTAGTTGATTATCAAAAAAATATATTTGTAATAAATATAATTATATTATAGTCTAGAGTTGGTAAAGGTCTAGATTTGAAACCTAAGACCTTTTTGAAACCTAGTTTTTAATAAATTTTTAGGTTTATAGTAAGTTCTTAGATTCTTGGATTTGTTTTTGAAATTATTTAATATAATAAATACAATAACATAATAAATAAAAGATGACTAACTAAAGAGCCAATTAATAATTTATTATATCAATACAAAAATATAAATTAATTTTATATTTCTAATTATATTTTAAAGAAACTAGGTTCAGAAACCAGGTTTTGGAACTTTTTAAAAACTAGGTTTTTAGGTTTTTGAAATATAATCTAAAAGTTCTAAACCAAAAACTAAATCTAAACCAACCTAATCATTCTTAACTACAGTAAAACCTCTATAAATACACTCCTCTCGGGACTATAGTAAAAAAAAAAGCAAAATATGTACTTAAAAAGAGTGTGCATTTTATAGAGCACAAAATATATAGTGCTTTTATAAGTTGGGGCTAAGCTATGCCATGCATTTAGAGAAAGTTTACATAGGGTATGCACTTATAGAGTGTGTACTTATAAAGGTCTTACTATATATTTATTCTTCAGTTAATTGAAGAATTATCAATTAAGTGGTTTTTATAAACCAAACTAAACTAGACTAAACTATAATATTCCTAGTTGTTAGTAATTTTCTATTTTACAATTAAGATGTGTTTAGATTTTTTTTTTTAAGCTTAAAATAGAAAAAGACAAGCCTCTGTGATTTTATTAAAATATATGAATTTGATTATATACTTTATCAGATAAAGTATGAAAAGATCTAAAGAATAGATATATATATTATTTTAAAAAATTAGAACAGACAGTCTCAAACAAAACCTTAAATAAACTAAAGCAAATCTGGGAAATAAATTTTTTTTTACCCAATTAGCTTGTAATAAAGTTAAAATAATAGTAATTGTTTTTATTATATAGTATACAAGAAAACATGTCAAGAACAATTTTATTTATATTTACTTATAAATACTTAAAAAACTTGTAGAAGTAATTATAAAGTTTGCTAATAAGATTATCTTATGAATTTGCTAATTTGATTTTAGAGAAAATTATAATCTAATTTATATAATGTTGTATAATATATAATTTTTGCTAATATAAAAAGATTAAAAAAAATGTCTTTCAAATAATAAATAATAATAAACAAAATCTATTTATTATTTCAAGAAGTATATATTAACATTCTTTATTAATGTTTAGTGTTTGTATTCAGAAAGCTATATATATCACTTCTCTATAATAGAACTTAATATTAATAAAAATAAAATTGTAATTGCTATTAAAGAAAATAAATCAAAAAGAAAAAGAAACTAAGTAATAATGTGTTTTTATTATATTTTTATTATATTATATATAGTAATTTCTTTTTTTTTTCTTATCTAGAACTTTGATTAAGTTGACAATAAATTTGATAAAAGGTTTTAAAAGAACTTAATACAAAAAATATTGTTTATTATTATTGTATTTTGAAATTTTTTGAATACTTCTGTATCTTTACTAATTTATTATTTAACATTTTAGAAATTTATAAGTTCAATTATTAAAAGGCTATTAAAATATAGCAAAAGTATCACATAATATAAAGTACTTTTTCTGCCAGAAAATAATAAAGAGAATCCTTTAAAAAGTTTTATGAAAAGTTATAAATAGGTAGAATATAAATATAATTAGAAAATAGTTTGTATTTTATCTCAATAGTAACATATTAAGAAAATATAGTATTTATATAATTTTTCTTTAGATTGAAGAAAAATAATAGCTTTTTATTGGCAACAATTTCAAAAAAAATAAAAAATCTCTTGAGTAAATATTATAAAGCTATTAAAATAAATATAATTAATTTTATACCTAATATAAACAAAATATTATTAGTAATAACAAAAATCTGTTTTCAAAAAAAAAAATAAAATATAAGTTTTAAAAAAACTGGTCTCTTTATTAGATTTAGCTTTTATATATTTTATTGTAAGGATATTATTATATTTATAAAAATTTATTTTACAAATTCATAGAATATTACATATTTATTTTCAAATACCAAATAACATTTTTCATAATTTAAGCTTATCTAAATATATCTATTATAACCATATTATAAACAAATTATAAAAGTATATTTTCTTGGATTTTAACCCTAGAATATATATACAAATATAAATATTTTGTCATTATATATTATATATATATTTTAGAAGTTTCTTATACTGTAATTAAATACTATATTTATTTTATTGACAATTAGTAGAGAGGTAAAAAATATTAATAGAAAAAACCAGAAAGATTATTCATAATAACCAAAACAACAAAGAGCAGTTGGATGGTTATATGATGCAAGAATATTTAAATTGGCTTTGGCAAAGTAATCAGCAATCTGTACAAACATAATAATAATAAAAGAGATAGTAATAGAAAAAAAATACTTAAAGTACATTAAAAAATAATTGTTTATTTTGCAAGTAAAAACTGTATTAATTTTTTATTTTTAATTAGCAATGCAAATATCTCTTTACAAGCTATAAAATTTGTTGCTAGATAAAATATTTGGTTTACTTATTTATAATATATATTTCTTAATTTTGTATTTTAGTATTGCTACATGTTATTATATCTTTGTTTCTTATTACTTTTAATTTTAAAGAGAGACTTTATAATATATTCTACTTATTGGATAAATAGACTTTATTTAGTTGATCAAATAAATGGTTTTACTATTCCTAATAATGCAAACCAATTAAGTAATCTTTCAAGTATAATTAATATCATATTAGAATTTAAAGAACTATATTTTTACTTTTCATATTATAATATACATAAAATCATTACTCTTAATTAATATTTATTATATATATAATATCATGTTATAAATTTTACAAATTATATTAAATCACTTCTGAAATACAAATCTAAAACCTTTAACTATTGCAAAACTTTCAATAAACCTGTAGTGGATAATTCATTTGTCAATAAACCATCACTAGTAAATAAATACAAAGAATATAGAAAAAGAAAAAAGACAAGAAAAGATAACCTAAATGATTATTAATATTTTAAAATTAATTATAATTGTGTTTTAATATAAAATTTTAAATAAATTATTCAATGATGATAATCTGCTTGATTATAAAATAACAATTTTTATATAACAATTATTATCATTAATTTGTTCTTTTATTAAAAGTTATATAAATATAGTAGTATCTTAGTTGTAGTGACAAAATTTGTTGCTAAAATAAGTAAAGCCTCTAGTTGTTCTACAAAAAATTTTTTACTTTTATAATATTGGCTAATCGAATTTCAGAATTAGATATAATGTAAAAATTGAAGTGATTCTATTTTTTTACAAAAAAAAATAAAAATAGCTTTAAATTTTAATTATAAAACCACTTTTTATAGCTTAATTAAAAATGTTTCTTATAAAATTTTACTAATAAAACAACTCTAACTTTATATTGTTTTTACTCTAACTATAATACAGCTTTAATTTTATACACAATTTTTACTTCAGTACTTAGAAAACAAACCATGTTTGTTTTGAGTACTACATTATATCTAATCTTGAATAGAGATCCGAACCGAATACAAATTTATAACCTGGGTTATTTGTGTAACTTTGAAATTGGGTACTCAGGTGAAAACAAGTTATATAGTATAAAAGATAAGCCATAAGAAATGTAAAGATTTTTTGCTTATTTAGCGTTACAAATACTTAGAATTAATGCTAGAAAGGGTTAATATAACGAGTTAATATAACAAATTTAGTTCATGTATATGCTAAGGTTAGTTACTATAACTTTATACTAAATAGCTTATCTCATAATCAACCTTTAAGCGAAACTACTTAGATCAAATTTTTATATTCTTCAACATAAACAAAGTAGATATTTAATTGAAGCTTAGATTATTGTAACCGTATTGATAAGTAAAAGATAAATAACATAATTTAGTTTATTTATTTTTTATAAATTCAAAAATATGAGATTACATCAGAATTTCTTTTTATAGTAAAAACATTATTTTATTCACTAAATTAGGATCTAGTTGTGTGTGCTTTGCAGTAATACAATTACCTGCATCTGAAAACAACCTTTCACTAAGTACAGAAGACATAAGAATTGACAAGTACTTTCTGGCTAATTTTGCTACATTGGGAAGCTTCTTTTTCTAAATTGTTTACTATTTAAATAGATTCATATTATCTTTAGCAATAGGAGTTCGTATAAGGTCCAGGTAGCATTCTAATTCAGCTAAAGGATTAGAAGCAGTATCAGTTGAAGTAAATGTGCCAAAAATTGAGTAGTGTAAACGATTGTGATGAATATTGTTACTATTTGAAGAGGTAGTATATATTGATATTGCTTGTTTATGATTTAAAGTAGCTATATCTTTAAATTAATAGGCTAACTCAGCTTTGGCTCTTTCTTAAGTTTTTTGATCCCAACTGGAAAGTGTTTTTAGCTATGGATCCAAAAGTATTGCCAACAAACTGACCATTAGTGGCTCATTCCAATAATTAAATAAAAAATTATAGATTATATAGCACATTAACTTTATAAGATGAGTGTTTTGAGAAGAATCATTAGTTAAATCTAAAGTATTATTTTCTGAATTGTTACTACTATCATCTGATAATTCTTTGTAGCGAAAGTTAGGTATATCTATTTAATAATTTAATATTTATTTAATTAAAGATTATTAATTAAATATATCAGGAAAGCAATACTAGATAAGATATATATTATTTTAATTACCTTGTTCATAGTTTGGAGTATCACTTGATATTTCGAATTCAGCAAATGTAAATTTAAGTGCTTCAATTAAAGGATATATAATAGATAAGGTAGCATAATACGACCCACTAAAATAAGTAGTGGTATTATTAAATGGTTCTAACAAAGTAACAATTTGATTTAATAGGTCCCACTCATATAGTGAAAGAAGCAGCTTTTTTAATTTTTTCAACCATCAGCTTGATCATCTGAATTGTCAAATAAAGATAGCTTTGCATATAACCATTCAACTGCTTTACGCAGTTTAAGTAACTGTTTTCATAAATAGTATTTTGAATTTCATCTTGTCCTTATCTCTGCTATATTGCATAGGATAGGTTTTTCGGAATTTGCAACATTTATCGACGAATCATTATTACCAAAATTTAATGCATCATCTGGACAAATATTACTTTGAATCTGTGAATATAATTCTTGTTATACTTCATCAAAACGTTCACTTTGTTTAGAAGATTTGGTAAAAAATTTAACCAATTTTTTTATTTTTTTAATATGAACATTCGTTTTTTTGAAAGTACGAGTAACTAACAATTGTAAAGTATGAGCTGTATAAGGTAAATATTCAACTCTCTCCCACAAATTAATTGCTTTAACCATGTTACTTCCATTATTCATTATAATACAAGTTATTTTCTATTTAATCCAAATTCTAAAACTTTTTTTTTTAGGAAAGTAATAGTTTTTTTAGCCAAATGTGAATATTGCATACGTTCTATACAAAGAAGACAGTTATATACTTTAAAATCACTCAATAACCAATAAATTGTTATACCTAAATATTCATGTTTACTACATGCGGTCTATAGATTAGTTGTTAAAGATGCTGACTTATATGTGTTATCTAATAATTGTTTTAAATTTTCAACTGCTTTAGGATAAGCATTATTAATTTTTTTTTAATTCTTTTTTCAGAGGGAAGTTGAAACGCTAGATCAACTATATTCATCATTTTTTTGTATCCTTTTCTTATAACTATACTAAATGCCAAATTATCAATAATAATCCATTTAGCAATTGTTTGCCGAATTTCTTGGTTTTGTGGTTCCTTATGTGTTTTGACTTTTGCTTGTTCAAGAGCTTTTGCCAATGTTTGTTGAATACCATGGTTTTGATTCTATATAATAATTAGATAAGTATTATCGATTATATTAAATTTTAATAGTTAATAGTTTATTTTTATTTTCATATAGATTATACTTGTCTTGAAGATGACTACTCATATTCCCAGTACTACCATCATGTAGAAATTTATGTTCGCATTTAACCTTTTTGCCACTTACATTCAGAATCTCAACTTTATAAACATTATGTATTCTATCTTTGCTTACTTCGAAGTATTTCCATACCCAACTGAATTTTGCATATTTTCGTCTATGCACTAATTTACTTTTTTTTTGTAATACGAGATTGATTTTCTTGAACCATTGAAATAGCCCCGTTACTAGAACCAATTGATATATTATCGCTAGTTTCACAATTAGAATTAAAAAGTAAAGAATCTTCTTCAAAATCACCTTCTTTATCACTCATTATAAAGTAAAAATCACCTTCTATATTACTCATTATAAGGTAAAGATTACTTAAAGATATAATATATATAATGAAAATAATAAGAATGAAGTTGAAATAACAAATATGCTATATATTCTTTAGAAGATATATATATATCAATTCGCCAACCAATTTGATTTTACAGAATGGATATTCAAAAGTCTTTAAGAGCGACTCAATTTACAAGTTTGTGATCATTTTTGTTTATATTTTTATTTGGTTTTTTTTTGTTTATTTAATTTTTTATTTTACTATGAATTTGTGGCTTTTTTATTTCTTTTGCGACAATAAGTTATATCATTAATTTAATACTAACATCACTTTTTAATTGATTAAAAAATATTACAATTTTTGCATTACTTTGATAATTATTGCATCTATTATTTGTGAAGATTTTTTTGGTTTATCTTCTTATTTTATGAGGCTAGTGCATTAGAAATATATTACTGAAGCATTAAAGATACCAACCTGAACATTTTGTGTATTTGATATATAAATAAATATAATATCAAACAAATTGTATATATGAGTGCCATCAAAAGAAACCTACAATCGGGCTTTTAAGGTTTTTCTTTGACAGCACTTATATGATTTTTTTTATTTTCAATTACATATTATATTTACAAAATATTTAGTTACGTACATGCTTAATGAGAAGTATAATTGTGTTGTTACAAAGTAGGTTGTAACACAGTATACTAGTAGTATAAAATAGTTAGTTTATATTCGATTAACTGTATTATTATATTATTAGTTATTATATATTTATTATATATTTATTAGCATAGTATTAGTTAACATTTTATTATTATTATTGTTATATTATTATTTATTAGTTATAGAGATATATTTGGCTAGTTATATTCGGCACAGTAATACTATACCTAAAGTAGTACAAGTGCCTCTGTACAAGTGCCTCCAAGTGCCTTTGCATGAGTGCCTCTGCACGAGTGCCTCTAAGTACCTCTGTACATAAGTGCCTCTGAGTGTTTTCACATAGTGCCTCTAAGTGCCTTTTATACAGTTTAGCCATTACACTCCTTATGTGTAGAAAAGTTATAAAAAAGGAGCCTTTTGTCTTTCTGCTCAAGTTAGAGTTCCTTACCCTCTTATAGAATCTAGCTTTATCTAACTACCCTTATTATCCTTCTTATATTTGTATAGTGTAATATTCTCTCTTTAGGTTTTCTATAGTAAAGGATATTACCGTGAATCTGTTATTAATAAATATTATCATTTCTATAAACTGTTATTATCTTGAACCGTTTGCCTTTTGCTGTGAAGTAAAAGTATACACTTCACATCCACCCCATATATGTTTATAAAGTATATTACTGCACCGGGTGATCTTGTTACTCTGCTATAACATAACCAAGAAGGCTATAGCATTGTAACAGTATGAATTGACATACTACCAATGCAATAGCTCCGCTTAAAACTAGCAAACTTACTATTCAAGAATTACTTATGATTTAATATATATTCGTTTTAATAAAAAAATAATTTATTAAAAACAAATTACAAAAATGCCTAATAACATGTACAATCTAATTACTATGTGCTTATTTTTCTTATGCAGAATTATTATGATTTTATGCCTATTCTAAGAGAAATTCATATACGATTATTTATTATATATATGCTTGTATATATTAACAAGTAAATTTAAACTATCACTATTTTAAACCAATGCCAAGGCATAAGATCAGATTATATCAATTATAGAATTTAATGTTAAGCATAGGATCAGATAGTATCAAATTTAGATTTAATGCCAAGGCATAGGATCGAGTGTATTAATTTTAGAGTTTAACGCCAAGGTATAGAATTAGAGCAGGTAATAATTGCATATATAGGCACTTATATGGTAGCAAAAAGATTATCAAACAATGCATTTTTGGAGATTTATTGGTTAGTATTAATCTTAACCGATTTGACCTAGGTTATAAATTTGAAACCCAGTTTACCCGTTTTGATCTGGGTCACCCGGGTTTGTATAACCTGATTTGGACCTCTAATCTTGAATTTTAATTGGTCAAAATTACAGAAGGTAGAAAATTTTTTGTAAAACTCTAATAAAATAAGTAGTATTCTAATTGTAGCAACAAAATTTATTATTAAAATGAGATTCTACTTGAATAGTCGCATTCTGATTAGACAAAATTATTCAATTGTAATTCAAACTTAACAAAAATTTCTTAGCAACTAGTTATCTAAATTTTTTTATTTTAATTAATTATATATTTATATAGAATCAAAATAAAAAATCTTTATTAATTTGGATAGGTAGTTATAAAACCCCAGATATCTCTAATAAGTTATAATTGATTTGTATAAATTTAAAAATTTTTGCTACTCCTAAAATTAAGTAAATTTGCTAAAAATTTAATAAATTACATTAAAAAATCAAATAGGATGCAGATCTGTAGATTCTAGAAATTTTTAACAAAATTTAATATAATTTATAATATCTTGTAATCCATTAATTGGAATTTAATGATTTAAGTACTATTTGATTCATCATGATAAGACAGATTGAATAGTATCAAAATCATTGATTTTCAACTACTAGATTACAAGATAATTATATTTTAGTAAAGTGTAAAAACATTAAATGATTTTGCTAACTAGTAGTTCAAAAATAATAATTTTAATATTATTTAATTCCTTTCAACTATAAATACCACCAAAATTGATTTTTAAAAAAAGTCTATTTCATCTTTATTAGAGCAAATTAAAATTTTTTATAAGGAAGAATATCTAAAATTTTATATTTATATTCTTTATAATTTTGTCTATTTAAAAAAAGTATCAAAAAATTTTATCTTTCTAGTAAAATAAATTCAAATTAATTTCATCTTTAAATTTTAATTTCAGGTTTTAGAACCCAAAATAATTTCATGTAATTGTCGAGTATAGATGTTTTGTATTATAGAAATTTTTTTAATAATAATATTTGAAAATAAAAATTATATTATATAGTGCAAAAAAACCCTTAAATCAGCAACTAATAACTAGTAATTTTTTAAAAATTTTATAAAAAAATAAAAAATATAATTAAAAAAAATTTTTTTTTTTATAAAAATATACAACCAAATAAGTAGAACAAAACTAGAGTTTATTTTTTAATATAGCAAAATTTTATAATATTATTTTCTTTTAAAGTTATTAATAAAATAAAAATTTGGTCGCATATATATAAAAAACATAATAAAATTTTAAAAATATAATAAAATTTTAAAAAATATAATAAAATTTCAAGATATTAGCCAATTAAAATTTAGTATTTCATTTCAAATTTGGCCATCTTTAAAAAAAGTTGTTGGTTTAAAGATTTTTGTACTATAGTAGTATTTTTTTTTGGTATTAAAGTAATCTCTTTGTCTGAAAGCTTTTATTAGAATTTGAAATAATGTGTTATATACAATTACAATGATAGTATATTAAGCCACACATGCACTTTTGGTGTCTAATTTAAGTAGTCCATCCAAAAGTTTTATACTATTTGCTATACCTGTACTCCAACTATAGGAGTATCCATTTAAACCATCTGGTTACAACTGCTATTGGTTAACCACCTAACTTCAGATCTTTTTCATCATATATATGTAAAGTTTGGTATCAACCTTTGCAAAGGATATACTTGATTGCCTTAGGACTTACCAACTATTTTTGGCTAGTTTATTCTCGAGATAAACTTAACAGAGTAGTACATGTCTCACACATATATATTCACTTGTATGTTTTTATAACTTCTTTTTAATTAGTACATATTAATTTGCTATTTCATATATGTATCTTATGCTATCTTTTAGAGTGCTACTGTTCTACAAATATTTCTCAAATACCAACCTTTTTAACTAGGTGTCTATTATATACTTTTTGCTTTTATTTGGTTTACAACAATCTTGATACCTATATTTAGACTGTCTTTTTATTGGTCCTTTCTTTACTTCAAGCTGGCAATCTGGAAGGATCAGTCTGACCAGGCTTATGGTTATTCTCCTTTTGGTTTATACTTTTGAAGTATATGCTTCTTTTCTTTGGTACGTTAGCTCAGTAGTTTAGCTAGTGTGTTCCCTTACTTATCACTTGGTTCTCTAATTTTAGGCTCTAGTTCAAATTTAGCTTTTTTGTAGTATCATCAAAGATTATTGCTACCTCCAAACTCAGGACTTGCTAAACAAATTTTCAGTTATTCTGGTCTCTGGATTTATTGTACCAAAGCTTCTATTACTATATAATGTACTCAGAGTTACAGATTAATCTAAATCTAACTGATAGATCACTATTAGCCATACACAAGCCTATTTTTCAAAATCATTACCAGTGAGATTTGAACTCTAGACTTGATACATGGAGAGGATAACAACTAGACTACTATACTAAGTTGCTACATCTCAGTATTTTTGTTTTTTTTTTATATTGTCAAATAATATATTGATAAATTTTTATTAAAATAATTACAAAGAATTTTAAATATATATTATTGAGACAAATAAGTATATGCTGCAAAGTAGCATGTATAGCCAATCATTTGTTAAATTACTATATTTAACAATTTGTTTAATAATTATATTATTTAACAATTTATAATCATGATTGGTGGGTAGTTACTTGCTAAGTTTTTATTTTAAATATTGAAATAAACATAATTATATCATAATATATAAAAAAAAATAACAAAAAAAAGTTTTTCATAATTATATAAGTTTGTTAAATAAGTATATACAATATTATTAGCTGCAAAAGTAAACTAGTTGCTATACTTTTAGCACTATCTACACTAGATGCCTGTATTTGCAATTCAAACTAGAGTTACTTATTTAAACTTTCTGATATCTTTTGTTCTGTAAACTCTATAGTTTAAACTATATTATCTTATACTACTATCTTATAAAGTTATTCAGATTAATATTCTTTTACTAACTTTCTTTTATAAAATAATTATTGAATTTTCACTAAGCAGTACTATTTCAAGACAAGGCATAGTAAATGTCTCCTCAATTTTT